TTCTATGAAAATTGTTTGTTTTTCTTCATTTTCTTTTTCATCTTGAAAATAACTTAATGACGTCATTATGGTAATGAAGTATATTGCATAGGAGTGATCCTCATGCAGAATTACTATATGACCATTCATTGTCTATGTCATTGACTATATGATATAATTAATGGAGTTGTATTACATATAATACTCGGAACAGTTATCCTTGCGGCAAACGACCTCTTCCGTTTAAGCTTCTGCTGATTGACATGTCTTTCGGTAACATCAAAAACAACACGCTTTAACTCATTCCCGAGTCATCTGTTTGGTTGCTTTTATGGATTTTATTTGATATTTCCTGACAAGTTGCTTATTGTTGTATTCAAAAGAACTGCAACAGATTATCTTTTGTTGAAAATCGTTTCTGAAGGAAGCGCCTTAATCAATCTCCCAGCCCATAACTCCTAATCTTATTAATAAACTCTCCCTCTCTCTCTCTCTCTCTCTCTCTCCCCATCTCTCTCTCTCTTACCATCTCTAGTGTATGACTTACCTCTTCATTTCGATCATTTGTTTTTCGCTTCTGTTCCTTACTGAACTTTTTCAACTTTCTATTCAAAACATAAATCAGCCTAAATACGAGAAATACATTTCACAGCTTCCCGCTAGTTCTCTTCCTCGTTCAACCCTACCCTCCTTTTGAATACCACTCCCCCTTTTTATTCTCCCCTCTCTCAATCTCCCTTTTCAATGTCATTCTCTCTTTGCCGCGGATTCCTATCAACCTTTATATCTTTGTTGAATTTTCAAAACTATTGCGCTTCTCATCCCCTAGCTGAGCACACAATAATCAAAACCAAATAAGCAGATTATCTCAAATTATAATGAAGCAATTTATTTTTCTTTCTCACCCTTCATTCTTCGTTCTCTTCTTAAGCTGTAGCTCACTGCTCGTTCAGCTTTCTTCCAAACCTTCTCTCTCTCTCTCTTTCCCTCTCTATGAACATCTTTTCTTAACAATCTATTATTTTTGATTACATAAACATAAAGCAAAAAATATAGGAAAGCATTGCATAAGTTCAGTTCCGACAGACAGTTGTCGTTGCGGAATCCTTTTCTTCCAACACTTTTTAGAAATTAATCAGATTTTGAAATCTTTAGGTGATTTGAATGAAAAATTTGAAGATTAATATCATTTAAATGACAGTGCCTGTCAATTAGATAAGTAAAGATGCTAAGAGGAACATACTTAGAGAGAGAGAGAGAGAGAGAGAGAGAGAGAGAGAGAGAGAGAGAGAGAGAGAGAGAGAGAGAGAGAGAGCGTACAGAGTTAT